GCAAATCAATATTCTCCTTTACAACACTGACATAAACAATAAGCCGTTTCCCAGCGTAAATATTGCTATTTTTCCTCTTGCCCTAAAGCAGCTTTAAAAAGTGAGGATTATATATTTGCACAGGGGCCGTGGCGGGGGGGGGTGCCTTCTTTCGGCCATCCCTTCCACCACCATCTCTTCCCTCCTGTAGTGCAAACTGAGAAGTCGCATCTCTCCTTTCATGGTCACACTTGGCCTTGGCTTCGTAATGAGAGAGAGGGAGATTGCATCTGTCAGCCTTTCTGGGCTTCCTTTGGCCAGAGTGGTTGTGTCCCTCACCTGCAAAGAAACTCATTTCCTAATTGCATATTAAATTAAAACTCCAGTTTTCAGATTTTAGGACAAAAGATCAAATATACTCCGCTTCATCCGGGTTCAGACAATAAGCTTGTGGCTGGAACTGTCCCATCTTCCCATCTCTCCAGCCTGACTCCTCCCCACTGCCTCTTTGCCCACTACCTTCCTCACTAGGGGAGGGGCCCCTTCTCCCCAGAGGTTGGACTGATACCTGGGAGGGGAGGGGAGCAGGTGCTCGTGGGAAATAGCTGTTGCTGTGTAAGGGAACAGGGTTCGCTCCCACCACCTGTCTTGTTCCCCAGCACCAGCCTTGCCCCCAGCAACAGCCCCACAAGGGGCTGGCCACCTAATAGCAGGAGAGCCTCGTGGTTGACCCCGAATAGGCACAGCCAACTTTCTTGGTGTGGAGAGTCCATGCACTCCAGCCTGGTCAACTTGACAAAAACAAACTGCTTAACCAAGTGTGTCCAGGAGAGCAGACTAAGATCACCAGATAGTTGACCCATCTCCTTACAAGAGGGTATTCCTTCAACAGGTTCTAGGCCTTTTCATCCTGGGACACAGCCTTCTCACAGCTTACCTGATGGCAGACAAACGAAGTGGCAAGAATAAGAGGAAATATGTTTCTTTCTCTGCTCTGTCCACAGTAATCTGCTGTATTGGAAAAGGGATGAAAGCTGAGCATTGTCCTGGACATAGAGTTGCCAGATATCCCAGAAAACAAATATGGAACAGCCTACCACTCACTGCTTTAAGCCATTCGATCGTGTTGGGATGCAACAAGTAGATGAGGCCATTCATTCATTTGTTCACTGGTTTTGAGTATCCTCTACTCGGGGCTGGGGCTAAAGAGGGAGCAGAAACAATGATCCCTAATAAGGCTTTGGACCTTGAGAACCTTAGTTCAGAGGTGTGGAGAGACTCCAGGGCCATGAAGTCTGTGAAGGTGGCAGAGAGGGAAGGTGTCTTTATAAAGGGGGCAACTGGATTAGGTCCTGGAGAATGAGCAGTTTACCAAGTGGAGAGGTGGGCTTCATCCATGCCCCGGGGAGACCCTGCAATGGTGAAGTCTCCCTCCTCCTCGTCAGACTTTGTCCTATCTTTCCTAAGTCTAAATGAAAATCATTTCTGTGCAGATACCTAAGGGTCAAGAGAGTTGCAGATGCGACCCAAGGGTGCTCCCTGGACGGGATTCTGATTAGCTCACCATCACGGCGGCTGTCTGAACACCGACCCCTTCCCCTGTATCCAGCCCGTTCCCCGTCTCAGGCCGCACAGCGGCTCCTCCACGTCTCCCCCACTCTGCTCACATCCTCTTGCCCCTTGCTGCTGCCAGGAGCTCCCCGCATCCCACCATTCAGAGCAGAGAGAACACAGACGTGTACCCCCACCTCTTCTGCATCTTCACATATCTCCTTTCTACAAGCCTTGACCTTAACCTCTCTTGAGTCTGTCTCCTCTTCTGTGGATGGGCATAGTAATACCTTTGGAAGGATCAAATAAAATAAACCATCTAAGTCGGTGACAGAGACCTGGCTTCCATTAACAATGGCCATCGTTCTTCCATGCTGCAAGACCTTCCATTACAAGTAATCCCTTGTCCTCTTTTATCTTTAATCAATCCTTTGACTCTTTCCTAGCTCTTTGAAAAAATCTTAGATCTGTCCTAAATTGATCTCTTCCTTCAGGCATGCTGTCCTCAGCCCATTTTATGGCTCCCTTTACTCACAAAGGTCTTGACAAGTTTCCATAAACTTGCCTTCAGCCACCATTTATCAAAGACTTGCTCCTCTCCAAAACAGTGGCCAAGATCTCCCTGTGGTCCTTATCCCCCTCCCCTGCATGGCCACATTTAATGCTAAGGAGAGGGAGCTCCAAGAGGAAGAGAATGGTTAGTGGTCAAATGCGGCCACTCAATGGATGATCCGTTTTGAGTTGATTTTTGTGTAAGATCTGAGATTTAAGTCAAGGTTTATTTTTTGCTTATGGATATCAAATTGCTCCAACATCATTTGCTGAAAAGACTATCTTCCCTCCATTGAATGGTTTTTTTGCACTTTTGTCAAAAATCAGTTGACTGGGCGCCTGGGTGGTTCAGTTGGTTAAGCAACTGCCTTCGGCCCAGGTCATGATCCTGGAGTCCCGGGATCGAGTCCCACATCGGGCTCCCTGCTCAGCGGGGAGTCTGCTTCTCCCTCTGACCCTCTTCCCTCTCGTGCTCTCTATCTCTCATTCTCTCTCTCTCAAATAAATAAAATCTTTAAAAAAAAATCAGTTGACCATACTTATCTGGGCTATTTCTGGATCTTTATTCTGTTCCACTGATTTTGTGTCTATCCCTCCATCCGTACTACCCAGTTTTGATTACTGGAGCTAAGCAATAAGTTTTGAAATCTGGTAGACTAATTCCTCCCACTTTATTCTTTGTCAAAATGATTTTATTTTATTTTTTAATTTTTATTTATTTGAGAGAGAGAAAGAGACCCAGCGGAGGGAGAGGCAGAGGGAGAGAGAGAAGCAGACTCCCCACTGAGCAGGGAGCCGGACATGGGACTCGATCCCGGGACCTGGGGATCATGACCTGAGCTGAAGGCAGACACTTAACCAACTGAGCCACCCAGGCACCCCTGTCAAAATTATTTTAGCTTTGTCATTTCACATAAATTTTGACAATAAGCTTGCCTCTATCCACAAAAGATTTTTGCTGAGATAGGAACTTCATTAAACGTGTGTATCAGTTTGGGGAAAATTGACATCTTTACTATGTTGGGTGTTCCATTCCATGAATATGGTGTGTCTCTCCACTCATTTTGATCTTTGATTTCTTTCATCAGCATTTTGTGTTTTTTTTAGCATATAAATACTGTATATGTTTTCTTAGATTTATGCCTAAGCATTTTAATTTTTTTGCACGTACATGTGTTCATTGCTAGTATATAGAAGAACGAACTTTTTGTATGTTGGTCTTGTATCTTGCATTCTTGCTGAACTCACTTATTTGTTCTAGGAGAATTTTTTTTTTTTTTTTTTAGATTCTTTGGAGTTTTCACCACAGAAACCATCATGTCATCTGCAAATAGGGACAGTTTTATTTTTTTCCTTTTTGATCTATATGCCTTTTATTTCATTTCATGTTTTCATAGCTGGCTAGCACTCCCTTTGTTGAACAGCAGTGAAAATGGTGGGCATCCTTGCCTTGTTCCCAGTTGTAGGCGGAAAGCATGAAGTCTTTAAGCATTAAGTCTGATGTTAGCTACCAGTTTTTCGTAGATGTTCTTTATTAAGTTGAAGCAGTTAACTTATTCCTACTTTTCTGAGAGCTTTTATCATGAATAGATGTTTGAATTTTGTCAAATGCCTTTTCTGCATCAAATAATATGTGATTATGTGATTCTTCTTCTTTAGCCTGTTAATAGGGTGGATTACATTGATTAAATTTTCAAATACTGAACCTGACATTGCATCCCTGGAATAAATCCCATTTGCATGGTGTAGAATTCTTTTTACTTATTGCTGAATTCCACTTGCTAATATTTTGTTAAGAATTTCTGTATCTATATTCATGAGGGATATTACTCGATAGTTTTTTTGTACTGTCTTTGTCTGGCCTTGGTATCAGAGTAATACTGGTTTCATAAAATGAGTTGGGAATGTTGGGAATGTTTCCTTCTCTTCTCCCTTCTGCAAGAGATTGGCATTCATTCTTTAAGCATATGGTAAGGTTCTCTAGCTTTTAAAAATAGTGGTTCTGGGGGCGCCTGGGTGGCTCAGCTGTTAAGCTTCTGCCTTCAGCTCAGGTCATGATCGCAGGGTCTTGGGATCGAGCCCCGCATCGGGCTCCCTGCTCAGCGGGGAGCCTGCTTCTCCCTCTCCTGCTCCCCCTACTCGTGTTCCCTCTCTTGCTGTCAGATAAATAAATAAAATCTTTAAAAAAAATAGTGGTTCTGGGGGACCCAATCCGGAGCAAATAAAGCTGAATCTCTGGGGATGGAACTTGAGTGAAGGTGCTTTTCCAAAGCTCTGCAGATGAGCTTATTAACTGTGCAGCCTGCTGTGGAGTTCGGTGTGGTAGTGGCCTTGAGGAAGGATGGGAGGGCGAGCTGAAGCACAATCCATCTGAAGAATGACATGAATTAAACAACGGGGAGGCTTAGAGAATTTGGCTCTCAGAGACATGCCCCAGGAGCCCCTGATATCTTTAGGACCATATCGTATAATGGAGACATTGGTCATCCAAGGCATCTGGGTTTGACTTGGCTGCTTAGAAACCATCGATTCCTTACTTAGCAATTTCAGCTTTCTTGTTGGTAAAATGCAACTCCTTGGGTAGTTTCGAGAATAAAACAACACAGTAGGTATGAAAATGCTTTTGAACCTACACAGCATTTTGGGAAGGTAAACATTGATGTTTCTTTGGGCCCCAGATTCATCCTTACTGCCACTGTGTCATGATTCCCGGTAAGTCCCACTAGGAGGTCAGTGGGAGGCTTGTGACCCCAGTCGGTTGTAGGACCGATGTTCTCAGGCTATGGAGAAACTTCCTCCTCTTCCCTGCTCACTTACTCTGCCCATGGAGGTTGGCCTCTGGTGGGAAGAAGTGGGACGTCGGTCACAGTGAAAAGGGACTCTGACCTTGACTGGTGCCTCCCTCTCACCTTCCGTAGGAACATGCTTGCCAATTCAGGCAGCGTGAGGATTCTCATCAAGGGAGGCAAGGTGGTGAACGATGATTGCACCCACGAGGCTGATGTCTACATCGAGAATGGCATCATCCAGCAGGTGGGCCGTGAGCTCATGATCCCTGGAGGGGCCAAGGTGATCGATGCCACTGGGAAGCTGGTGATCCCTGGAGGCATTGACACCAGCACCCACTTCCATCAGACCTTCATGAACGCTACATGTGTGGATGACTTCTACCACGGGACCAAGGTAATGCTCCTGTTTGCTGAAGGTGCCTTCCCTTTGGCTTCTTCCATTTGTGGGGCTGCTCCAGACTAGACCCATGTGAACAGGATTCCCCTGCTGTGTTGCTCAAAGGAGAAGGGTGCTCTCCTGGGGCCACTGTGGCAACTGACATAGGAAATTCCAGGCTAGATGTCCTAGATCTCCATGACTACCGAAAAGGAGGTATGTAGGCCTGTTTTACTGATCACATCACTTACCTGTGTACTGAGGCTGGACACTGATTTTATGTTTATATTTCTAAGGCATGTAATGCAGACCTAGAAGAAGAGAATTTGCTGGTGTTTGTTACTGTGCATGTATGTGACAGGAGTGAGGTATTGATCTGATGGACTCCTTTGTGTGTGATAAGCTAAATTAATTCCCCAAAGATGGTGGCAAATAGGTATTTCTCTTCTAGACGATTTTAATAGCAGTAATTATGAAACAGACATAGTGAGCCATCTTGTATTATCTCTCCTAGCTTTTTCATTATTTTTAAAAACAGCTAGAAAAAAACCGTGGTGAGCCTCTTTCAGAGGGCATGGCCATGGACACTACAGTTATTGAGTGGGGCCTGAGCTGCTGGATGTTCCTGAATGCAGAATACAAAAATTCAGGCCTGTGAAACGAATTAGGAGGAAAGAGTCACATTCGGGTTCTTTTATCCCTCTTCTGTGCTCCAGAACCTGTTACTGCTGTCATTCCTTTGCATTGTAATTATCTGTCTCATGCCAACCTCTCCATGAACACCAGACTATGGACTCCTTAAGGCCTGACAGTATTGTTCTGCTTTCCCAGAGCCTGTCCCTGACCAGGAACCAGAGTAGCTACCCAGTAAATGTTTGTTGAGTGAATCAGTGAGTGATGCTTAATCTATGTGGGTCTCTGTACCCAGCTATGCATCAGAGTTACCTATGAAGGTGTTTTTTAAAGATTTTATTTATTTGAGAGAGAGAGAGCACGAGTTGGGAGAGAGGCAGAGGGGAGGGACAAGCAGACTCCCTGCCGAGGAGGGAGCCTGACATGGGGCTCAATCTGAAGTCAGACACTCAACTGACTGAGCCACCCAGGCACCCCTGAAGACTTTTTTAAATGCAGAATTGAATCAGAATCTCAAGGACTACCCTGACCCCGGGAGGCAGCCCCTTACACTGTCTGACTTCCAAAGGCCTTGGCCTCTAACACTCCCTGGGAGAAAGGGATCCACTAGCTACTGGCCCAGGGGCTATAGTCAGTCCTCTGTCCTACTTTGGCCCACAGCCTCAAATCCCCAGTGGCCCTGCACCCTAAAATCCCACATCTGTTCTACCTGGGGTTCTCAGGGAGCCCTTCTCCCATGCTCAGGTGTCTCCCGCTGTGATCCATTTTCCTGGGGGTTCAGGTGTCTTGGCTAGGCGGTGGCTGACAAGGCTCTCCAAACCCGCCTCTGAGGAGCCTGGCTGGGGCAGGCAGAGGCTGGCCTTGGGGTCACAGTTCTAGGGCTGGCCCATCTCAGGCAGTTGGCTGTTTAGGTCTCCCTGAAGATATCCTCCCTTTCCAGTCCAGGAGCAATAGACCAGACCCCTGGAAGGCTGGGCTGCAAGGAGTCACAGTAGCTGTGGCCTAGCCTGTCCTGAGGCAAGGCTGCTCCCAGGACTAATACTTCAGCATCTGGGGCCAAATCTGCCTACCCTACCGGAGCCCAGAGAAGAGAGGCTGTGGGCAGACCCTTCCCACTTTCTCTTCTGAGAATTCTCCCAGGACCTGTGGGTAATGCCTCACTAATGAAATGGGGAGCCCCGTCCCCATAAACTTGTGCAGGGTCCTCTTGCAGGGCACACTAGTGACAGGGCCTTTCCGGAATGAGGGAGCATATCCAGTCCCCCATCCCTATGTGCTGGAGCCAGGCCAGGCCCAGCCTGTTTGGTTTGCGGTCATTGTCATTGCTATTTTTATTGAAGCGTAGCATAAATACCAAGAAGTGCACAAATTGTAAGTATATAGAAGTGTCACAACTGAACACACCCTTGTAACCAGCACCCAAATCAAGAGACCAGACATTGCCAGACCAGAGTCCCTCCTTATGACCCCTCCCAATCACTACTCCTTACCAAGGATAACCACTACCCTGACTTCTAATACCACAGCTAAAAAAAAAAAACAAAACAGCTTCATTGAGATGTAGTTCACACACCATACAATTCACCCACTTAAAGTATAGAAGTCAGTGGTTTTTAGTATATTCACCATAGATTGGTTCTGTTTACTTTATATAAATGAAATTAAGTGGTTTGTTCCTTTGCATCAGCCTCCTTAGCTCAACATTTTTGTGAAATTCGTGTTGTATTTTATTCGCTCTTACTGCTTTGTAGTCTGATGTACCACACAGTACTTATCAATGGGTGTTTGGGTGGTTGCCAGTCATACTGTTGCTATGAATGTTCGTATACTTCTTCCGGCAAATCTATGCACACATTTCTGTGGGGCCCATTCCTGGGAGTGGAATTGCTGGGTCACAGGGTACACATGTGCTCAGCTTTAGGAGATGCCACCGAATTATTTTCCAAACTGGCTACCACAAGGTCTACTCCCAGCAGTAATGTAAGAGAGGCCATAGTATTTACTATCAGCATAACTCCGATTATCCCTTGGGTCCCTGCTGGAGTCTATTCTGTAGTGTGCTCAGGCCTGGCACCCCAAATTGCAGCTTTCTGGCTCCTGTCCCCGCCTGGGAGACCTTTAGTCCAAGATCAGATGCCATGCTGTCACCACACTGTCTACCCACCTCTCAGAGGGCAGGCTGGCCTTCTTTGTCTTATTTTTCACATTGTCATCTGCCGGGACCTCATTAGCCAGGAGTGACAGCTTTTCCCCTGAGAGCCTTTAGCTCTTTATAGCCAATGAAAACCTCCGCACGTGCATCTTTGTGCAAGGTGGTGAGTAACTCTTGATCTTTTCCAGGTTTCTCATCCATGGGAGCAGCCACCTCTGGAAAACACATAAAAACCCCTGTGTGATTTAAGGCCCCCCATTCCATCTCAGGCTCTAGTTGTGGAGTGTTTAAAGGCCCATAGATCCTAAGCCACCCCCCTGGCTACCGATGTCACCTAAACCCACTCTATTCTACCCATCCCCTAAGCCAGACTGGATCTTAATGTCCTTGTGCCCCAGCCCTCAGATTGGACATGTTTCCTCATGCAGCCCCTGACTCAGTCTCCCCTGGATCCTGTCCATAGACCCTGCCCCAAGTCCTGCCTCAGTCTCCCGGCCTTCCAAGAGCTCTTTTCTTGCCCTGGTACTCCCACCCCTCCACTCCCGATTTCGCCTTCCCTCTGGTGCTCCTACAGCTGGGCACTCGGGCATTCTCTTTCCTCGGGGCGCTGGCGATCTCCCGGGGAGAGAAAATGCGCTCCTATTGCAGTGCCGCTCCGGGGGATGTGTCCACTAAATTATTCACATGGCCTGTGGCGCTCGTTCAGAGGCTCGTTCAGAGGTCCACCCTGGTGGACCACCGCTGACCTACTTTGTACATTCTAAGGAAGGTAGCTTTAAGCATCTGGGTTTATAACTGAATAATAATCCTAAGGAAAGGCTCACCCGAGTGGTTAGCCTAGAGAGAAAGAGAGATCAAGCTGCACCTTTTTGTTCTGATCCGACAGATCCGTGGGGCCTCAAACTCTGCACCCCCTGAGCTGTTGCGTGCCTGTCAATTTGGCAGCCGCAGTCAGGGCTGGGAAAACAAAACAGTTGAAAGCCTGGCTCTTCCGAGAGCATCTGGGTCTCCATTGTACTGGGTCTAAAGGGATTTCTCTAGCACTTTAACAAACGCCTTGCCTGCTTTCAGAGGCTGTGGCAGGCTCTGCCTGGCTCCCCAGGCTCTGCGTCCCGTGCTCACAGCTGGGCCCTTGATCCTCCTCCCCGCCTCCTCACACCCTCCCAACCTGCAGGCCCTGCCCTCCCCGGGCCCAGAACCTGGGTTTCCTGGAAGCAGAGCACCAAGACCACCTGCTTGTTAATAATGCAGACCCCATTGAAGAAGGAGGTTATCTCCCGTGGGGAGGCAGGGGGCGGGAGGGAGGAGGGAGACCAAGTAACACCAACTGTGTTTATAAAGGTCCGGGATTTCAGTTGGGTCATGAGGTCTTTTATTATTATTCTGCTTAACGTACTTATGAGTTATATTTATTCTCTTGTGTGGCGCTAATGTTACCTAATAAAGAATGTTAATGCAAGCTCTGGAGCTCCACCCCACCAATGGCTCTCCGCTGTGCTCTGGGAAGATCAGAACCAGGCTCTTTAACCTATAGGCACAGCCCCTTCACTAAGATGTTGATAGAGAGGGCAGGCATGGGCAGTGGGGAAAAGCTGCCTAGATGCCTTTTCTGCCTCCCGCTCCTCCAAAAATATATTAAGAACCACCGTCTAGGCCAGTGGTTTTCAACCCTTGGAAACAAACTACATTAGAACAACTTGGGGAGAGGCGCCTGGGTGGCTCAGTTGTGTAAGCGTCTGCCTTCTCGGCTCAGATCATGATCCCAGGGTCCCGGGATTGAGCCCCGCATCGGGCTCTCTGCTGAGTGGGGAGTCTGCTTCTCCCTCTCCCTCTGCCCGTCTCCCTACTTGCACTCTCTCTCTCTCTCAAATAAATAAATAAAACCTAAAAAAAAATAAAATAAAATAACGACTTGGGGAATTTTTTTAAGACACCAGTATCCAGGGCCCATGCCAGGTCAGTGAAATCTGTATCTCTAGGTCTGCCTCTTCCCCCATCAGTATTTTTTTAAAGATTTATTTATTTATTTTAGAGAGAGAGGGTGCAAGCAGGGGGAGGGGCTGAGGGAGAGAGAGAATCCCAAGCAGATACCCTGCTAAGCATGGAGCCCAACACGGGGTCAGTCCCACGACCCTGAGATCATGACCTGAGCTGAAACCAAGAGCCGGCCACCCAACCAACCGAGCCACCCAGGTGCCCCTCCATCAGTATTTTTTTTTAAAGCATCCCTGAT